AGGGAACGGGCAGATAAGAGGGAACACAGCCCACGGCTGCCTAGTGGGCAGAGCAAGAGGCTCAGGAGGTTCTCAGGCTGGAAAGGAGACGGTGGGAGGGTTGTACTTTCAGACTTGCAAGATTCTGTTAATGTAGCTTTACAATAAAATAGAATTAGTTTATCTGGCCATGTTTCTTGTCTGGTCTACCTGGTAAGTTTAAGGTGGCCAGTCACAAAGCAATTTGCAATATGCTAGAAAATGATGCTAGGCCATCTTTTCTATGTGAGCAATTTTCAGGCCACTGAAGAAACTCATATAGCTCATCCCAAAAGCAATATGGTGTACCTTGACTTGTTCAGTGGCATTTGCTCTGTCAAACTCCTAGGCAAATGGAAGCAAAGAACTAGGATGTAGCAAATAAATATGGCATTTAATTCCTTTAAATGATCTGTGCTGAATTGATGTCCTCTTGAATTGTGCTATAATGCTCAGGCATTCTGGGAGCTGTAGTCCAAGATATCTGAACAGTACCAGGTTGGGAAAGGCTATCTTAAAACTAGACCAGGAGACTGACAATATATATTGTTTTGTTTTGTTTTTTAACAGAATGATTGTTACAGATTTAGAGACGAGCAAAGAAGAAATTGAAAAAGGTAAGGGTATGCTCCCCACCCTGCTTTCCTCATTGAAAGATTCACCACTTTTGTGTTTTTTCCACCAGAAGGAACATTTCACTGGAAGGAATAATACTGTCTTGATGGTGGATCCTGTTCTATGAAACAACTGCAGCATAAACTCTAAAATAGTATCATATTAAGAATAAAAATTAAGGAACCTTGAAAATATCACAGTCCTGCCATCATGTGTGATACTGGCTTCCCCAAAGTGGTTAAGTGTATCCTGCTCACTGCCAGCCACCATAAGGTCACTTCTGCTTTATATGAAGCCCACAAAAAATATAAGAGACAGATATGTAGCACAGGTCTTCAGAGGAAAGGTCTCAATGGTTCAATCGTAAATAAGTTGTTATTTCTGGAAATATCTGTTTACGTGAGCAGCCAAATTATCTGAGCACTGAAATGTGGAGGCATCAAACTGACATTAGATTATTCTTCACTTGATGAGAAATAGAGCATGCATAGCTTCAAGGAAGCTACAGCATAGATGAATGTGGAAATAATGTTCTACAGCAGTGTTTCTCAACCTCAGCAACTTTATGATGTGTGGATGTCAACTCCTAGAATTCTGGCTGGGGAATTCTGGCAGCTGAAGTCCACACATTTTAAAGTTGCTGAGGTTGAAAAACTCTGTTTTAGAGGTAGGATACCCAGACCATTATCTGTATTTAGCCATGAACCTCATTGTTCCAGAGGCTCATCTTTCAATTCCTTTATATTCCAACCATAATAACGATATGACATTAACAGAAATCTTCTGAAGGACAAGTTAAAAAAAAATGATGCTACATTAGTCATGCCAACAATGATATCATGTTATTGTTTGCTGACTGAAACAGTTTATCTACCTTTATTTCCAGAAAAGAATAAAGTTCTGAGGATCAAGACTGTGGTTGAAGAGATGGTGGATGGGAAAGTAGTATCCTCCCAAGTTAACGAGAGGGAAGAGAAGATGTAGAGTCAACCATGAAATTAATTGCATGTTATGTTTGTAATGGCAAAAAAAAAAAAAAGATTTCAAAAATTGTCTTCCTGAAAGATGAGAAAATGCTTTGCTGTCAACTTAAAATTAGCATTCCCCAATCCAGTGTTCTCCAAATGTCTACCATAACTGGAAGGCAGAAAAGGTTGATTTAGAAAGAGAAATCTGCTCTAAAAGAATGATTTGAATCATGTTATTTATATATAATTTCTTATTTTGTAATTTAGTTACAAGAACAGAAAGTCTTTGTTTCCTCACTGGCTGCATAACTGTGTGCTTGTTGTGTTAAAGCCATTTGCCCCATTGAATGATTTCCCCAGGGTTTCGGTTCCCTGAGGCAAGGGATGGGCAGAGGTTTTGGTCCAGAGAACTGCCCCAGACATCAAGCAAATCCTCTCAGATATGCCCTTGAGCATACACAGCACTGTGCACACAAAGCACTTAGCACATGTCCAATCCATGACATTTGGCACATGCTTCGTCCTATAGTCATGCACACTCCTTAGTTTTAAAAATTAAATACGACAAAAGGGAAGCCATGACACTTTCTTCCCAGCAAAGGGATATGTTACTATTACTGCATTCTTGCTGCTCTGAATCCATTGGTTCCCCCCTCTTCCCAGTGAAGGATCTACTTCATTCCAGGACTAAGGCTGGTTTCACAGGGAAAATGGAAGGATTCACATCACTATTCACAGACAGCTTCTGGGAACTGCGGGCAGACCATGGACTACAAATTGACCATTCCTGTCTGAGGAAGTATATTGGATTGAGTGGTAGTGGAATTTTGTGCCATTTGATAAGTCACTCATGATTCATGTTCTCTTAATTTTGATGGGAATTCCGTGAAATTAATGGAAAGTTCAAACTCAGATTTATTAATCAAAATAAGTTCCAGCATAAAACTGGTTCCAACCCAACTGCTTAATCAGTCATCCATATTAAAATTTGGCATTCCAAAATCCTTGGTACTAAATAGAGGTAAGTGTTAGTAAACACCTGGGCCTTAGATTGTGGAGAAAGCTTTAAATAGAAAAAAAAAAGGACTATTTTTAAAATATGATTCTATAAAACATGTCAGCATCAGTTAATATGATGGATGGTTCCTATTACTTGTTTTTCTGTAAATGATGTAGCTCTAAAAAGCATTTTGTTTGACCCTGTCTTCTTCCTGCAATATATGATTTTAAATTCTAAAGTGGAAAAAAAACTATATGTCAAAATAGTAATGATTGTATTTTAATTTTTAAAAAATCTGTAAATCAGGGAAACATAAATTTACTTGATTAGCAATTACAACTCTGCTTATCTTTCTGGGGACAGAAGAGATAACATGAATAAGAATGTTAGGCCAATTAATATGTTGGAAGTAAATAAACAGGGCTGTTGTCCAGCTAGAGAGGCAAATATGAATTACAAAAAGCACTGAACTCAACAAGCATAAAAACCTGAATTGGCAAAAATGAGCTGTAGAAATCTGCTTTCTTTTTTAATTAAGAAAAGAATTGTTTTGCCATAGAAGAATCCTAAAATGTTGATTTGACTTACTGGCTAGATATTGACTGGGTTCATGCATCATGCTATCCTTGACTTGATACTTACCTAAATTCTTATCCATAGCCCACTTTAGTCAAGGAAATAGAAGTAGGAGGAACTTTGGGAAAATGATCATGTAATTCTGGAGCTCTTCATTTTAAAAGAAACTATGTGGTCTCTAAGAGTCAGAACCGACTTGATGGCACATAATCAAAGCAGGGTTTCCTGAAATGCATATCTTATGCTTTAAAAAATGGATTTTAATAAACTCATTGCCCTGATAAGTAAGAAACCATGGTAGGAAAAGCTGATGCGAAAAGACGCTCAGGATGCATGAGAGTTCCTAAAGAAATAGATATTAAAAACACAATTGCAAATAATTCCGGTGAGGAAAAAATGGAGGACAGAAGAAGCTACATAAAAAGTAAAATGTATTAAAATTTTAAAAATGAAAAACCACACAGATAAGAGATAGAAAAAGGGACAGGTCACAAAGAAAAAAGATAAGTAGCTGAGGAAGTTAGGGGAAGGCTAATATATGAATTTAAAATAATTATTGCCTGGTCACCCATAAACATTAACAAAGAGTGTTGGAAATACAACTGAAGAAAAGGAAAAGTAGACAAGAAGCAACTGGAGGAACTGAATGGAAACTAAGCAGAACTGGAGAAAGGAGCAGGCTTCAGGCAACGGGAGATGGATCCAAAATTTGAGAGGGGAGCTGCATAAAGTGGCTTCTGCTGGACTTGTAGGTTGATGGCTCCCCTCAGGATTACCTGCTAGGAGTTGAGGCAGGAGCAAAGAGTGCTATGAGCAGCCATTTAACTTTCCATAGCGGCTCAGAGCACTGTGGTAAATTCACATCGTAAGGTCCATTTTAACAGACAGCACTGCACATTATACATTAATGCGCAGTTTGCTTCTTTGCTCTGTCCAGGTTATACTCAGGCCAAGTGTCTCTGGGACTCTTTTCTAATTATTCTGCTTCAGCTAACACAGATTTTCTTCTGTTAGTATATAGAAATAGATATAAATATATAGATATACACAGAGAGAGGGAGAGAGGGAGGGAGACATATATATGCAGAATATATGTACACACGTATATGCAGGTTTTCCCCAATAAAATACAAAAATATACCAAGTTTTCTTTTGAAAAAGCCTTTGTTCAATTGATCTGTACAGAGAAGCCAAAGAAAACACTTTCGCAGCCATGAATAACTATCTAATTCTATAAAAAAGGATTGTTTCAGATTCTTTAGCTTCCTACCTCAATACCAATCAAAGAACATCCCTGTGAAAACCACACCCGTAATCCACAGGACTTGGATCCATTATAAAGTGATATACTCAAGATGACATCGCTGACAAGATAAATCAAAACTGATGCAAAGACTGAAAAAAGGTTATGTGTTTGCTTGATTCATTATAGTATAATGCTTTGACTGAGCTGCAGATCTTCTGTACTTAAATGTATAAGCAAAACCCTAATAATTATTCTTCAAAGAAGAATAAAATAACATGGCAAATATCACATTTCAAACAGCTCACAAATCATCCTAGGATAAGCTACCTCTGCCAGAAGATTATATGTACAAGATATTCATTGCTTTGTTGTTTGAGCAAGTAAGTCCTAATTTCACTGCTTGAACAGCACAAATTCCCATTGTCACTTTCATTCATTTGCAGCAGTTCAATCTCCTGTCATTGAACTATTATCCATCCCTAAGTTTACTTTGTACTCTGTATGCGTGTGTCTATTTGTCCTAACTACTAATTTCTGAGGCAGGTCACTATTCGTCTCATTTTACTGATTGGGAAAACAAAGTATAAATGTAACTTTGTCATAGCCAAACTATATGTGACATTAGATGCATGGACACACTTTACACGTCTAGTTCCTAGATGTGGAAGGAAGATATCAAATGGCTTGAGGGAACCCTCAGATTTGCAAAAACCTTGGGTTGCAAAATGAAACTAGAACAACCAATGGTGAGTGACACTTGCAGTGTGAAAGAGGGATTTGACTGGATTGGACTGGACTGGACTGGACTGGACTGGACTGGATTGGATTGGATAAGGCTGCCTAGCTGAAATCCTAAAGAAGAATATTCCACACTGCAATGAAAACCAAGCTGAGAAAAACGAAAAGAGGTGCTTATATTTTTTTTATGATTCAAATGGATTAGGAAAAGAGGATGAGGCAAAGGAATAGTAATTTGTTTTTAGATATGCAGAAGAAATAATGACAAATAATTGTATAAATTGTAGAAACAGTGGATTAAATAAACCTGGAAACAGCTTTGCTTCAGTACTCCCAATGGATTATTTCAAAATTCAATATCTCCACTCCACCCAATCCACCCGTTAGCAGAACAAATACCTGCAGATTTTTGCATATTCGGAGTATTCCATTCCCAAAAGGGTTCAATTTCCTTTTGGTTAATCTTCCCTGGACCGGAGTGAGCATTCCAAGGACCTAAATATTTTTCCCCAAGGACCTTGTCTTGTATTGCAAATGTCAGCATTTCCTTAGCCTACCTAATACCTGTTGTGCATAGAAGTATATCTTTAGTTACAAAAAGATCCACATCAGAGAATGAGTTTATGATTAGAATATACAAATTTTCCTCAACTTTGGTCCCCTGATATTGAATTACAAATTCCATCATCATAAGCTGACATAGAATCACAGAATCCAACAACTGGGGAATTGGAAAGGACCACAAGAATCATCTAGTCAAATGTGCAGGAGAACCAATTAAACCATGTTCAAGAGGTGGTTGTCAAGATTCTTCTTTAAAAAGGGATAATGGGAATTGCAATTCAGAATCTTGAGACCATGAATAAAGAAGACTGGTATATCGAATGGGGCATAGCTCTGAAATGCCCTGGTCGGAAATACTGTAGAAATTAATCTCTCCTTCTCCTAATTGCTCTCTTGTCCCCTCCCTTTTTTTTTAATTAAGCCTGCGTCAGTATGTTATATCTCAGGTACGAGAGAGAGAGAGAGGGAGGGAGGGAGGGGGAGAGAGAGAGACAGAGTGTGTACTGTGTACACAATAATCACTTTTGTCTGTCAGTGCTCCTGCTGTATAATACATTCATCAGCTTCCTGACCTCATTTACTTTTTGCAGCTTTATTAAGTACAGCAATATCTTTCATTCAAAAACTGCTCTGAGCTCATCCAAGCTAAACATTATTTCATAACAATGTTTATCTTCTTTATTTTCCTATTTATATCCCAGCAAAACCAGAAAGGTGGATGGCAAAGTAGTATCATCCCAAATTAAAGGAATTGAGGAGAAAATGTAAGGAGCAAAATGATAATAATTCAATCTGGAAGTCAGGATGAATTTTTAAGTTCCATGTAGTCAAATAATTCAATAAAATACTCTAGTTCAACATACTATTTTACAAGTTAATCATATACTTATTGACTGTGTTGGAGGAAAAGTCCCACAAGATTTCTAATATAAGCATTCGTACTTTGTTATTCTGAGCAATGTCATGACACCAACAGAAAAAAAGAACAAGTTAATACTGTAACCCTACTCAGAATATTGCAGAAACTTGGCTTCATTTAAGAAAACAAAGTCATAACAATATTGTCAGTTAGGATCAAAGTCAAAGTCAAAGTCAAAGTCAACTTTATTGTCATTGTACTTCTCGTACAATGAAATTAAA